TGGGCTCAACTAGTGGACTGAATGCGAGCATGGGATGACTCATTTGCTCCTTTGCTCGGGGCTCTTTTCCTTCCACCGCTTCCCCTCGCTGTGGATGGCAGAGACCCCCCCTCCCTCCCCGTTCTATGCCAGAAACAGAGGCAGCAGCCTGTGCAACTAATAGGGTTAGAGCCGCTGTTTTTCCCTTCGCTCCATGGAGACCCGGGGGAAAGGTCTCTTATCCACCTGCAATCTTATCTCTGGTTCCCAGGTGACCTTTCCAAAGACCAGTGCCTGCGTGCAGAGAGACCAGATGCCTCGTGGATCTGGGCGTTTCAGTCCTGGGGCCTCTGCTGGCCAGCATCCCTCCTTGGGGGATAATGGAGAGGCCGAGGGGCCCAGGTCGGGTCCGCTTCCCCGCCCAGCTGTGAAAAAGCAGCCTTCCCTGGCCTCGCTTCTTTCCTAACAAAAAAAAAAAAAAAGAAAAGGAAAAAGAAAAGAAAAAGAAAGAAAGAGAACCAGGCTGCCAAACAGCTACTCATTGCACAGGAACGTCTCCCAGCCCTGCTGGGTGGCTCTGTGGTGGAACACCGACCTATGGATGAACCAGGAGGTCATGGTCGAATCCCCAGCCTGGCTCCGTATTCGGTGTGGGGCGTGCAGGAGGCAGCCCATGGAGGATTCTCTCTCATCGTGGATGGTCCCCTCTCCCTCTCTCCTTCTCCCTTCCTCTCTGAAATCAATAAAAAAATATATATACATTTTTTTTCTTTTTTTTTAAAAAAAAGGAATTCTTCCAGGCATATGATAAGGCGTTGCTCAATAGTTGGTAAGCACATTCCTGGGAGTGTTCTTTCTCAATCCTCGGGCCTGTCTTTGATCGAGGCTGCAGCCAGCAGCTTATGTGGACAGGAGGGAGCCAGGAGGATTCACATTTCATGCGGGATAGGGCAGGGGGGGTCAGGGGGGACAGGGAGCCTGGGCCTCTGTGCTGGGAGCATGCGCGCACTGTCCGCTGGAGTCTCTGGGGGCGACTTCCTCCCTTCCCCCTGGTCACTATGGAAACCAGCGCTGGGACAGGGCTTCTCCTAGTCCCCAGCCTGCCAAAAACAAGTCTGTCCGCAGCTGTGGGATCTGTTTCACGTTACAAAGTTTGAGGCAACCCGCCCCCATAACCCGCCCTGCCCCAGAAGATTTCATTACAATGTCTCCATGTCCTTCCTGCACCCCTGGAGCTTGGTGGACAAAAATATCCATGGAAGAGAGTCACCCCCTTTTCCTTGAGTTTGGCTGGCAGGTGTGGTGTGTGTGTGTGGGGGGCTTTCGTGTTACTTAAGCCGCTGGCCCCCGAGATGATTTATTTTCCATATCGAATCGGGGGGACCTGGGAGAACCCAGCCAGCCCAATGGATCGCTGGAGCTCCAGACCCCAAACTTGTCCTAGAAGGGCCCTAGGGGTGGGGAGGTGGAAAGGCTCCATGGGTTAGAGCATGGTCCAGAGACCTCATAGTGGTCCCAACGCTCAGGCCCTGGCACAAGGGAGGAGGGAAGTGAGCTGTCCTGGAGGTGGGGGGTCTACAGGTGACCATGCATGACCGCACCAGGAGAAGGTCAAGTTCAGCTCACAGGGCAACGAGAACCCAAGCAGCCTTCTGGCCAGAGCTCTGATATCTCACAGCAGCCGGAGCTTTTATAACTTTATCGTTGTTTTTATAACTGCATTTATACTTTTTTTTTTTTTAAATACACAACGGTGTTCCCGCTTTCACAATGGCTGTGCCCAAGTCTGAAGTGCAATGACATGAATCCATTAACTCCGGGCAGGAAAAAAAATAGGAGGATGCAATTTTAATAACCTTTCAATGGCAAAAGTGATGGCCCGTGGCCCACGCTGAGCTGAGATTTAAGTAACTGGCTCAAACATTTTTCATTAGTGAGGAAGGAAAAATATCTTCAATGAACTAACTAGTTTGCCCGGATCATTAGGAAATAATAAATAAATATCCAAGAGAACAGAAGAAAAAGAAAGGAAACGAATGGATATAAAGTGCAAAAAAATGAGGATGATCTTGACGAAGCATGCGGACCCATGCGTGGATGATGAGCCCTTCTTAAATAATAAAAAATGACGGAGCTGAAAGCACTCTGTCAGATGGACTGAGAGAGATAGAAATCTACAAATTAAAGAAGACCATGAGAAATGGGAACAACCCAACTAGAACATATCTGACAGATGTGTAGGAATTCACCTTGTGAAGGGAAATGTTAGGAAATCCTATCAGAGGGACGGGGTGGGGATGATCCCCCTCAAAGTGACTCAAGCAGGAAAATCCGAAGAGAGAGAAACAGCGTGGAAAATCCAAGTCAACCTACTCAAGAAAAAAATAGAGAGAGAAATGAGAAATGGGATATGAGAAATAAAGAGAGTACTAGAAATGCCCAGGTAATATTGGATTTCATAAGCTTTGAGTTTCAAGGGACAATAACCAGACACAAAATACATCTTTTTTTTTTCTTTTTCTTCTTCTTTTCTTTCTTTGTTTGGGTGGCATATTTAATTGATTTTTTTTTTGAGAGGGGGGGGGGGAGGAAGAGGTATATATAGAGAGAAACATCATCGATTGTTGGGGGGAGGTTTCAGCTTTGTTTTGCCCATTGCACACTTGCTTTTATAAAATACCCCCTTCCCCCCCCCAAAAAAAAGAAAAGAAATTGGAAAACACAGCCATCCATATGTCGCCTCTCTTGCTCATCCTGTGAGTGAGAAGGCCAGATACCTATGCTACCAGGTTTGAAAACAAGTTCCGGGCGTGCCTGGCAGGTTGGGACCAGCCAGGCGCTGGGAGCAGGTGGAGGTGACATTTCCCTTCCCCAGGAACACGGAGCTGAGGTTGCAGGCAGCAGTCGTCAGGGGAGGAAGGAACGGTGCTGGGCAAAACCTAGGGGGTGTGGGGGGGTAGATATCATATAAATTTCGGGGAGTAAACACGGCGATCTTGGAAGGATGGGCATTTTCATGGGAGGGAAAAAATCAAATCAAATCAAAATGATCCCAGGGACGTGGAAAACAAAAATCAATGGCTAGTCCCGCTCAGTGGTTAGCGTGCAGGACTAAAGGTCCCGGGTGCTCCCCGTCTGGTCAGGGACACATACCGGGGTTGCAGGCTCTAGGTCAGGGGCATGCTGGAGGTAACCCATCCCTGGGCCCCTCTCTCTCTCTCTCTCCCCCGTCTCTCTCCACCCACCCTTCCAACTCTCTCTAAAAATCAAGGGGGACAATATGGCCAGATGAGGGTTCAAACAAACCAATAAGAAATAAACATCTAGCCGAGACCGGTTTGGCTCAATGGATAGAGCGTCGGCTTGGGGACTGAAGGGTCCAGGGTTCGATTCCGGTCAAGGGCATGTAAGTCGGTTGCGGGCACATCCCCAGTGGGGGGTGTGCAAGAGGCAGCTGATCGATGACTCTCTCTCATCGATGTTTCTAGCTCTCAATCTCTCTCCCTTCCTCTCTGTACAAAATCAATAAAATATACTTAAAAATAAAAGAAATAAACATATAAATACCTATTAACACACACACACACACACACACACACGCAAAAAAAAAAAATAATAATGTAGGGTTAAATAAAATACGTTAAAAAATAAAGAAAACCCATGACTATTCACACACTTACCCAGGCCACCCGGGGGTTAGTCCCATGGGCCCATGGGGATTGACGACATTCGGCTCTTTCTTTCTTTATTATTATTATTTTTATTGGTTACTTGATCGGAGAGGGAGACAGGGGGGGAGATTCACAGTTTGCACGTATTTTTACATCGCATGCTGGAGTCGCGCGTGGGACCCGGGCCCTGGGATCTGGGCTCGAACCCGCAACCATGGCGCGGCCGGACGGGGAGGGGGTGGGGGGTGGGAGGGGCTGCCTTTTTGTGTGTGTGTTTTGTTTCTCATTCTTTCCCTCTTTCTTGCATGTCTCCATCCTGTCACCCCTCTGCTCTGGGGGAGCTTCAACGGGGTGGGCCTCGCCTCTGGGTGTCCCCATGTCGGACCGACCGACCAACCGACCGACCACTGACTGACACGTCATCATGGAGACACCCCTTTCCTCGACGTCCCCTCGCACCCTAGGGGTGCGGACCCCACTCGGACACCCGGACCTGGGTCCCTCCGGGGGCAGGACTCCTCTCTGAGGTGATTTTGCGTCAAATGACGGACATTTCTCCTCAGAAACACACTTTTTCCCTCAGAAATGCGTTCCCCTCGCACCTCAGCCATCGTCGTCGTCGTCGTCGTCGTCCGGGGGACACCTTACCTCGTCCCTGTCCAACTCCGGGGGCTCCGCTCAGCCTCCGCCCTCCCTGTCTCCCCGCGGCCCGCTGCGGGCACGGGCACGCGGCACTGATAACCTGGGGCTCCATGCCAGGGGGGGGCGGGTCTGGGCCGTCTCGGCGGCGATGGTGGTGAAGGGGGGCGCGCCTCGCCACGTTCCCGCCCCGTCGGGCGCGCGCGCGCGCGACGCCCCGCCACGCCCCCCCCTCGCGCCCGCCCGCGCGGGCTCGCGGCCGCGCATGCGCCACTGTCCGATCAGTCCGAGCTCCCGCCCCGTCGGGCGCCGGGCCACGCCCACCTCCGGCAGCGGGAACGGCCAGGCCGGCGGCCGCGCATGCGCAGTGCGCCCCCGTTCCGTCCGAGCTCCCGCCCCGACGGGCGCCGGGCCACGCCCCCCTCCCCGGCAGCTGGAAGGGAGCGGCCTGGGCTCGCGCGGACGGGCGCGGACGCGCGTGCGCGCCCGGGGCCTCCCTCCCGGCCCCGCCCCCGGCCCGCCCGCCGCTACGGAAGGCGCCGCGCGCCCAGCGACGCGCACTTCCTCTCCAGACGCCCGTCTGCGAAGGGAGCGCCGAGGGCAGGCTCGACGGGAGCGAGCCGCCGCCGCTCTGCTGGACGCCGAAGCCCCGCTGCCGCCTTGTCTCCGGGAGCAGGCATGTCCGAAGCAAGTAAGCCGGGGTGCGACCCCATGGAGGCCGCCGCCGAGGGCGAGGCGCTCGGCAGCCCCGCGAGCCCCGGGGGTCCCTCCGAGGCCGCGTCCACGTCCCAGGCCGCGGGGCCCGACAGCCGCCCGCTAGGCCCCGGCGACGCCCCGGCTGCCTCGCCACCGCCGCCGCCGCCCGCCGCCGCCGCCGCCGCCGAGGCCGGGAGCGACGAAGAAGACCCGAAGGCCCCGCTGCAGGCCGCCGCCGCCGCCGCCGCCGCGGCCGCCCAGGCCCAGCCGGCCCCGCGCGCCGGCCCCGCCGCCGCCGCCGCGGGCCCCGCCGCCGCCGCGCCGCCCACCGCGGCGCAGCTGGTGCAGAAGGCGCACGAGCTGATGTGGTACGTGCTGGCCCGCCAGCAGCGGCGCGCGGCGCTCTGGTTCCCGGACATGGTGCGCGACGTGCTGGGCGGCGGCTACAAGAAGTGGTGCCGCAGCATTCTGCGCCGCACCAGCCTGCTGCTGGCGCGCGTCTTCGGCCTGCACCTGCGCCTGGCCAGCCTGCACACGCTCGAGTTCTCGCTGGTCCGCGCGCTGGAGCCCGCCGAGCTGGAGCGGGTGGCGCTGGGCGCCGCGGCCGGCGGCGGCGCCGGCGGCTCCGGGGGCCGCATGCCCATGATGGGCCTGCTGCTCATGGTCCTCGGCCTCATCTACGTCAAGGGCCGCGGCGCCCGCGAGAGCGCCGTGTGGAACGTGCTGCGCATCCTCGGCCTGCGCCCCTGGAAGAAGCATCCCACCTTCGGCGACGTGCGCCGCCTGCTCACCGAGGAGCTCGTGCAGCAGCGCTACCTCAAGTACCAGCGCGTGCCGGGCGCCGAGCCCCCCGAGTTCGAGTTCCTGTGGGGCCCCCGCGCCGCCCGCGAGATCACCAAGCTGCAGATCATGGAGTACCTGGCGCGCGTCTTCAAGAAGGACCCCCAGGCCTGGCCCACCCGCTACCGAGAGGCCCTGCAGGAGGCCCGGGCCCGGCGGGCGGCCGCGCCCCCGACTCCCTGCCCCCGCAACAGCTTCTCCGAGGACTAGCTCTGCTGGCTGGCTGGCTGCCTGCTAGCTGCTAGCTGGGTCCTCGGAGCGAGGCAGGCAGGGAAGGAAGGGGGGGGGAGTCGTCCTCTCTCTCTCTCTCTCTCTGTCTCTCTCCCCGGGTGTTTAACCCTCTCTCACCAGGCTGGTGGGAGGGGGGATGAGGGAAGAGATCTGTGAAGAGTCTGGATAGAGGGTTTTGCAGCAGCAGCAGCAGTCTTTCAGCACGTTTTAAGTTTTGTTTTTTTTCCAGCTCCTGTGCTTTTAAGATACCACCTTTTAAGAAATGCCATGTTTGTATTTTGCTTTTCAGCCCTCTTTCGGAGAAGGTAGTGGGTAGGAGGTTCCGACCCCCCCCCCTCCCCTGCATGTCTTGTTTTCTGAGGAACCTCTCTCTCTCTCTCTTGTTAGGTGCTTTCTGTTACTGCCTTTCTTGAATTTTTTCTCCCCCCCCCCCCCGACCCTTTACCCCCCCCACCTTTTGTACCAGAGATGTGCTAAAAAAAACAACAACAGCAAAAAGCACACAAACAACAGCCCACTTCCATCGTAATGGGACGAAGGACGTGTATCATCAGTGTGGTGGACTGTGCCCCAGGCGAGCGGGGATGGGCGAGAAGGACTCCACCGTAAAAAAGAAAAAAGAAGAAGCTGGCCTTTGGGAAGCCAAGGTTCGAGGAAAAAGTCAAGGTTCCCTCCCCTCCGGCTGGTGACCTCGCCGTCCGCCGTGGGCACAGGCTTGGCGTGGTTTGGACTTGGACTGGTCTCATCCGTGTGGGCGCTTGGCACCGTTGTTTGCTAAAACCCGAGTTACAACCCCCCCCCTTCCCCTTGCCCCTCACCATCCCCGAGTTAAACTTTAAAAAAAAAAAAAAATACAGTAAAGTTCTTGTGATAAACGATCATTTCTGGAGAAAAGTGTGCTTTTTTTTAATCTTTTCCACTGCTGCCTGCATGGGGAGGGGGGGGAATCGAGGGGGAAATGGGGGGAGGATTGGGGGGAAATGGGGGACATTTACGAGAGGGAGCAGGGGACAGCTGTTTCCGTGGGGGTGGGACAGCCAGGACTCCTGCTTTCTCATAAACAGGGTGGACTTTTATAGTTTGGGGTGTTTTTTTTTTTTAATGCACAAAGGTATAGAGGAAGCACACGTGCCCATCATCCTGGTCTAGAGAAGTCTCAGTGATTAACAAGCAGGATCATTTCCCCTTTTTGTGGTCGCTGAAGCAGCACTTATTTTTTTTTAACTTAACCCTCACAGCAGCCTTTGGCAGGGGAGGGGGGGAGGGAGGTCAGGAACAAAGCCCAGCCTTGAACTTGCCCGAGATCATCAAGTTTAACGAGAGGAGGGGCCGGGATTTGAACCCACACAGGAGGAGCCCAGCGCCTCCACGTTTCCCTACAACTGCCTCCTTCCCCGTCCCCATCAGCTTATTCATTTAAAAAGTTCCACTAGAGCCTCTCTTTTTAGTTCCCTACCTCACATGCATGTGTGTGTGTGTGTACACACATGCACACGGACACACATACGCACACAGGGCTAAGGGATCCTTCCATGAGTCTTTCCAAGAAAGCAGTCTTACTCGGGGTGTACGAATGAAGAAACCTGGTTTCAGGGAGATTAATGGGCCCGATCGAGTCACACTCGGGGCTGAGCCGTGGAGCCAAGACTTGGCCCTCCCTGGAAGGGCTGCAGCGAAGGAGCCAGAACACACACCCACGGGACTCCCGGGAGAGTGGGGAGGGAGGTGGGGAGGAGTGGGGTCCGGTGGGACAGACGGCTGCCTGTTCGGACAGCTGTGGCTCAGTGGTTCCTGAATTGCAAAGCACCCCCCCAGGGAGTCCTCCTTGGAGGGTGTGGAATGGGGTGAGAGTGAGGGTGGGGTGTGGGTTGTGGGGTGGGAGAGAAACCCGGGAAGATCTCATCTTGGGAGCGGGTGGGGGGGAGAGAAACGGGCCTTGGGTGAGACCAGAAACCCTTCACCCTTCAGGAGGCCGGAATAGTCCGTGTAAGAAGCATACAGCCACAACCACTGTGTGTGTGTGTTTGTGTGTGTGTGTGTGTGTGGCAGGGGGACAGTCACCGCCCGTACACGTGTGAAGTTTGTACTTTTATTTGTTTTTAAGTGCCTCTCACGTGCTCCACGCGTGGACCCACACAGAAAAGGTGTAAATAAACCACAAATGCTCATACTCACATACAGTCCATAGAAGTAGCAGCTGGTCAAAGCCGTTTGGGGGGTTGGGGGCGGGGGGAGACATAGACAATGAGAGGAGTGCATCGCCCCTAAAAAGACTATAAACAGGAAGTTCTGTTGGGGTGAAGGGGTTTTCTATCCTCACCCCAATAGAACGTCCTGCTTAGGAGCTAGGCTTCCCAATGCTTCGTGGCAAATACCCAACAGGAGGGCGGGTGCAGGGGCTGAAGGTGGACTTCCCGGGGTGGAGGGGGGCACGTTTCGGCAAAAACTCCAGCAGCAGTGACCCGGCTTGGATGCCCCCTCTCACCCAGAACCAAGGGGAGGGCGTGGGAATGTTAGGATTGTGACAAATGCTTTTACCCGGCCCGGCCAGCGTGGCTCAGTGGTTAGGCACCAACCTATTGAAACAGGAGGTCCCAGTCCAATTCCCAGCAGGGCATGTGCCCAACTTGCGGGCGCGCTCCATCCCTGATTCTCTCTCATCATGGATGTTTCTCACTCTCCCTCTTCCTTCCTCTCTGAAATCAATTTAAATTATATATATATATAATTTTAATGTTTTACCTAGCCCTGACCAGTTTGGCTCAGTGGGTAGAGCATCGGCCTGTGGACTAAAGGGTCCCAGGTTCGATTCCGGTCAAGGGCATGGGCCATGGTTGCAGGCACATCCCCAGTGGAGGGGGGGGGAGCGTACAGGAGGCAGCTGATGGATGTTTCTCTCTCATCGATGTTTCTAACACTCTATCCCTCTCCCTTCCTCTCTGTAAAAAATCAATTAAAATATATATATTTTTTTTAAAAAAAGTTTTACCTAACACCCCCCCAAATAAATAAATAAATAAATAAATAAATAATAAAATAAACTTCCAAAGAATCAAAATCCATCGCTCCTTGGAATGTAAAAAGACAGCGCCATGCAGGAGGCTCCGTGCCTGGGGCAGGACCAGGGCTGACCCTCCGGCCCTGGCGGCATGCTGGCCGTGTTTTCCAGTGCCAGCATCCTGGGTTCCTTGTGCAGTTCTTTCCCTCAAACCCAGTCCCCGCCGGACAGGCCCCTCCACTCCCCCTCAGAGCCCTGTGTCTGGGCTCCCGCTCGTCTGTGCTACGCGCGAGGGGTGATGAGAACCCCACGGCTGTCCCAGCTCGTGGGCAGGGGGGCTAGGAGCCACACCACAGAGAACAGACCCTCCGGGGAAAGACGGGGTCCTGAGAACCAAGGAGCGGACCCCAGGAAGGCACACGGGCAGGCCTGCTCGGCTCCTGTCTTCGGAGGCAGCGGGAGACTCCTCAGGTGCGCAGCTGACTTGCTTTCTGATCCCTCATCCTGCAGGGTCAGCAGCTTGGGGCTCAGGAAAAACAACAGTCAACAGTATGTCCGATTTTTTCCCCCCCTTCTTCTTCCTCTTCCTCTTTTTCTCCTCTCCCTTCTCCTCCTCCTCCTCCTCCTCCTCCTTCTTTTTGGTCAGATTTTCACTCAAGGCTCCATTCAAAGCTTGGAGGGTTTTGGTAAATTATTTTTCAAACGGTGGTGTTCTATGTAACTATGAGTTCTTAGTTTTACTCATCCTCACCTTTTTCCATTGCTTTTGTAGAGAGAGTGGAAAGGACGGAGGGAGGAGGGGAGAGGGAGACGGGGAGGGAGAAAGGAGAGAGAAACATCGTCCCCAAGTGCTCCCTCCCCGCCAAGTGCCCTGACTTGAGGCGAGGGGAATCAAACCTGCAACCCACGCACGCATGTGCCCTTGACCGGGAATCAAACCCGCGGCCGTTGGTTCAGTGCCTGGGCCAAACGCCCTAACCACTGGGCCACACCGGCCAGGGCCTCTGTGTTGGTTTCTCTGTTCCATTCAGAAGTGAGATGATACCCTCTCTACCTGACTTGTTGTGCTGGGCACAGTGCCCTCCCCTTTCGCCCACGTGGTCACACGTGGCAAGACTTCCTTCTTTTGTGGCTGAAGTAAAAAAAGAAAGAAAAAATCAAAATTAAAAAATATATTTTTTAAAAAATAAATAAGTAAATGACTTTGGTTTCGCGTGACGGGGAACGGTGGCGAAGGGGACAGACCAGAGCGTTTTTGGTTTGTTTTTTTTTTTCTGGAAAACGGTGAAATGTTAAGCGGGTACTTAACTGATTAGCAGGGATTGCAGACATATCGGGGGGGAACATGATCCCGGGGAACATGATCCCGGGCAGAGACAAACAGGACAAGCCCCGGGGCCCCCCCCCCCGCCCCGAGTTCATTAAGGGGATGTGCGGGCTCCCTCCTCGGCGACCAGCCCCAGCAACACCCAACCGCTTTTTTTTTTTTCCTTCTTCTTCCCCTGAGAAAGTGCAGGCTGCATATTTGCTTTATCAGCCTCCGGGCCGCATTCCGCCCCCTGGGCCCTCAAGAAAGGGCATGCTTGCACTTTCCCTTCCCGGCTTCCTTTTGCTGTTATTGTGGTTTTTTAAAAAAAAAAAAAATTTTTTTTTTTCATTTCATTTTTACAATATATTTTTATTGATTTCGGAGAGGAAGGGGAGAGGGAGAGAGGGGGAGAGAGAATCGTGGGTCGGCCGCCTCCTGCATGCCCCCTCCTGGGGATCCAGTCCACAACCCCGGGCATGGGCCCTTGACCAGGAAATCTACATCGAACCCGGGACCTGCCCTACATCCTTTTATATCAAATGCACACACAGCAAGGAAAAAAAACACAGGGTGGCTCAGTGGTTGGGCGTGGACCTATGAACCAGGAGGCCATGGTTCCATTTCCAGTTCAGAGCATATGCCCGGGTGGTGGGCTCGATCCCCAGTAGGGGG